AGTGGATCCTAACAGGAACTTGGACAAATGAGGCCCAGATTGGCCATTACCTAAAATCCACTAGCACTTTAAAGACTAACAAAATTAGTCACAGCTCACTTCATGAAAGCTTAGTTGCCACAAATGTTGTCAGTCTTTAAGGGTGCTCCTGGACCCTTGCTCTTTTCTACTACAAACAGACTAACACAGCTACCCATTTTGACCCACTACCTAAAACATATTTCATGGAATGTGACAGGACCCCACATTTCAACAGTTTATAAGATGCTGTAATGTTCATTCAACAGACCTGATATGAAACTAATTCCCTGCTTAAACGCTCAACACTACTCCCCCCTCTCCAAAAAGACGCCTGGGGGGGGAGAGACTGGCATATTAGGTTTCTGCTTCAACCAAGTGTGTTGAAGCACCATCCATTCCAGGCTTGCTCGAGTGCTGTGTTCTACAAAGTGGTGGCAGCTCTAACAGCACTTCAGAAGGCATGGGAGTGGCCAATATGCTGGATCATAACACAGCGTGGTTTAAAGCACTGAGCTCACCACCCATGCCTTGAGTAGAAATCTTGGAGGGGGGGGTGAATTACTTCATCTCCCCACCCCCTACCCTTTAGCTACTGCGATCTGCAAGTGTCCAGGGGCTTTCTAACCTAAGCTTAGTGGAATTTGGCCATTGCCAATTGATTCACAAATGAAACGCTGAATGCCACTGAATGGAATTTGTCTGCCTAAATGTGAACACATCCCATTTAAGATAAATTCAGGTGAGTAGTCGTGTTGGTCTCAAGCAACAGAACAAACTTTTGTGTCCGGTGGCACCCTTTGAAACTTTAATTCTGGGCATCAGCTTTCATGTGTATGCACACTTCTTTAAATTTAGCCTTGTCTTCAAATTACAGGAGTTTGTAATTCCGGTCACGTGTACCCTTTGCTCCACAAGGACATGTAACAAGACCACGATAGCGAGAGGCCGGCCAGATGAAGACTTGGTGGCACATTAAAGGTGCTACTGAAGAGGAAACCCCACTTCTTTAGAAAAACCAGAACTTTATTATGCATACTGTATTACATGGAAAATATGTACCCAAGGGACATGAGGTCTTGAATTTACATCTGTACAAAAACAAAAATAGATAGAAAAAATACGGGTTGTTAATATGATACGCAACATTTTACAAAACGACACTGCCTGTTAGTAGGTACAAGACTCCTAGAGAGATCTGGCCTTAATATTTATCTGGTCTTTCCCCTTCATCAAATCTTGTTATGAAAACACTAGCTCTTATGGTGTTAAAGTACCTTTCAGGAAGTTGGCAAACGGCACCTAAAACATGATTTCGCAGGGACTGCAAGGTGGTTCTGCCCACGGCATCCAATACCCCACTAAACTATCTGGTCTTTCCCCTTCATCAAATCTTGTTATGAAAACACGAGCTCTTATGGTGTTAAAAGTACCTTTCAGGAAGTTGGCAAATGGTACCTAAAACATGATTTCGCAGGGACGACTGCAAGGTGGTTCTGCTCACGGCATCCAATACCCCACTAAACTGAAAGCTGCATTTCTTCCTCAGGGCTGGGTGAGTGCCGACCTCCCTTATCCCATCGGTGGGATATCATTAATTGGTCACCGCTGGGCAAAATGGAATTTAAACACATTGATGAATAGGTTGCAAAGTAGATCCCATTCGCCACAGCTGAATTCTCAGCCTGTCTCATCTGAGTGGAAAACAGAAGTCTGTTATGGTCATACACCTCTGGGGTTTTCCATCAGATTTCTGAGATCAGCAATCCAGGAGAGAGTAGCAGGAAATGTCAGTCACATCCTTGCTGTAGAACTCGGGTCTACAACCCCTGTTCAGGGGGTTGCACTGATAGCTTAAGTTGATCACACACTACGACATGATTTGAATGCTCTATGCCCTCATCCCTCCCCACCCACCCTTCAAAGAATTCTCTGTTCAGAGATGACTTTCCTGTTAACTTTGTAAACTTTAAGTAAAACCTACCATATCCAAGAGTGTGGGAACAGTACCACATAAAAGCAGCATGCACTCTAAAGAAGCCTTGGAAGGCTTATGTACCTTACCTTAAAATATGATAGGGTGCTATCTAGTTTCCTGCTACTGCAAAATACACTTTGCATGCCTTGCTACATTGCAAGACAAGGAAGTTTTTAAAAAAAACTCTTCTGACCAGGGTGGATTGTTTTTAGCCACCCACTCCTAGCTCTCAATTTGAGACGTGTTCTGATTCCCGCTTCTCCCGCTTAGCTTTAAAACCATCGGATGTCTAGGAAACACCTTATGCTAACTGGCTAAAGGGACCAGGTTGCAGGAAAGGGAACATGAATTGTGCCATCATGGAGGAGGAGAAAACTGGTGAGCTTGTGGATCTATCAAAGCATCCTTGCAAGTGAGAACAAGGTCTTCTTTTATGCTCTACTGGCGGAGACAACGCCTCTGAACGTGCCTTTCAAAACTCAGACTGTACTCATTTACAGGAAACTATGCAGTAAGCTGTTCCTCTTACGGTGACCCGAAATTGTTCCAGCACAAATGTAACACATGCAGAGCATCTCCAGGTTTACTTTGCAGCCTATTCACACTGGCATTTAAAGACTTTTTACCCTGTCTACTCTTGCACCTGATACCGGAGGACTGCAAAACCCAGGACTTCTGGGCCACCCGCAAAGTCCATTTTATCTTCACAAGCATACAAAGGAAAACCACACCAAGTCATTTAATGAAATATTAAGCCCAAGATGGGTAGCCATGTTAGTCTGTCTATAGCAGGAGTCCAGGAGCACCTTAAAGACTAACAAAACATGTGGCAGGGTAGGAGCTTTCGTGAGTCACACTGCTCACTTCGCCACTGCTCATCCCCTGCCACATATTTTGTTAGTCTTTAAAGGTGATCCTGGACTCTTGCTCTTTTCTACTATTAAGCTCAAGTTCTTTATGTAAATAATTGCCAATTACAGTTACCGATGTGCTCTTGGTCTGGTCAAGATGATGGATAAACTTGTTAGAACACTCTGCTATTTAGCAAGTTGACAACAACCGCACCTCTAAGGATAGCCACGAAACAGGTTTCAATAGTCCTGTCCACTAAACTTTTGGTCTTTATTTATAACAGGTAGGGTTTAGATGCTAGAGAATTAATGCATACAAAGCTATTTTGCCAACTACCGTTAGCTGGCAAAGTCATTTCAGGGTCTAGTTTTCAAATGGCTTTGACATATTTAAAGAATTTCAAACGTCTTGCTTAGGAGCCAGTCTGACAGGTTTTCTTGCATGGTATTTGATAAAAATGAGAATGCCCTGCTTAAACTCTTCGGATATAAAATATTAAAATAAAGAAGTCATCTTCCAGCAAGTTAATTTTGGAACTCAAATTTGTTCCCCCCCCCCTTTTTTTGGTAATGCTTGCCCGCCTAACGAGCAGAAATTTAGAAACCAAAATCACAGCCCGGAATTGGCAAAAGCGGTAGAAATATTTCTCCTGTTGATGACGACGTGCATTTAATTGAAGCAAAGTGAAGGTCACACCCGAGGGCCGCCACTCTGTGACACGGGGCTTGGTTGCATCAGATTAAAATGGAAAAAGGAGACGTGTTTCTTTCTTCCTTTCTCGTTTAAAATTCTCAGATGAGAAGAGAGGTCTGAGGAGGAGGCATGCCAAACCAGAAGACCAAACTGACTAAAACCTGGGCAGATCTCGGGATAAAGCGGCCTTCTTCTCCCTGCTTGCTACATCAGTCTTAAAACCGGCCCACTCCCTTTCAAACCTGGCCCGTCACAAAGCCCTCGCGTGTGCCACAACTGCTCCGGGACGCTCCCCAGCAGCAGCTTCGTTTTATTTGTTCTTTTTAACTTTCATTCCACTCTGTTGCATGCAATTCCTGGAAACAAGCAGAAGACAATGCAATTCCGTCTGTTTACGCGCGTGACCTGTCAAGTCCTTCAGTGAGAAGCTCCCAGAGAACAGCCATTTCCGACGCCGCACTCTAAGGGCACCGATTTCTAATTGTCTCCCGCTGAGACGGGCCAGAGAGGAGGGGAAACCCTGTGTTGAAGTGTGCCAGGCAGCCAAACGCTCCCCTGTTCTATCCAGTTCACAGAACCGTTTTCCAACAAGAGGTTGACTAATTTAACTCTGGAAAAAAATCTGGGAAGGGCCATCTGGCTTCGACCCTTCAGCAGAACATTCCAAGGCGGACAGGGGAACTCGGACAGATGCTAAGGTGGCTCCTACGATGCTCCGCTGCTAAGTCTGCCTCCGGTGGGGAATGAGCTTTTCTGATGAAGAAAGCCTCCTCCTCCCCCCCCCACCTTTCTTGGTGGAAGAGAAGCCCGAGGCTCTGCACCTGAAGGCCCCTCTTGCCTGGTTTTGCCAAATGCCCACTTCCCGTGAATAAGACAACGCCGCTGGCCCCGGGAATCTGAAGCAAGCGAACTGAGGTGCCGCCTGGAAAGAGTTGAGAAGTAACCACTTTAAAAAGCACTCGGTGTCATCCATTTCAACCCCGAAGGCTCTTTTGGCCTTCATCTGTGGGCTGAAAAGTTAACCCTTGTGGTCTCCAGCGTGCTTTGCAAGGTACCTTTTTCACGTGCCCGTGTCAACATGTAAGCTGGGTAACTCCCGTGTGATGTCAAGCGCACGGGCTAGGGAAGAGGGAGCTGGCTGACCCGCTGTGTCATCTGGCAGGAAAGAAGGATTTGCCACCGAGCATCGTGAAAAGCGTGTTCCCCCCGCCCCCCCCCCCCCCCCCACGGTTTTATGCAAATTACAGGGACCCCCTTGTCTTCCCAATCACTGGTGTAAAATCACTACCCGGGGTAGGGGTGGGAGGGATCCAACGATACATTTGTCTCATCCGGCAAACTACAGAAGACTACACAACTACGCGGCAGTGGCCAAACCAAGGCTGGACTCAACCGTGCATAGAGCTACTGTGAAAAACCCGTCCTTCTCCTTCCCCCCCTTCCCCCCCCCCCCCCCCCCCGAAGGTTCTGGAGGTGAGTTTCCTGCGGAGGCGGTGGGCGCACCGAACCCTCTGCTCATTCAGCCACCTCAAATGACTCTTGGAGCCCGCCCCCAACACACACACTCACACCCTTAAACAACAAAAAAAGCAAGCATAGCCATTTTGATCTTTGTTCTGCTATTCGAGCCAACCACAGCTAGGCATTGATGGTTCAGAGAGAGCCTTCACAGGAATGTTGGTCTGCCAGGCCGACGCGCGATGGGAGGCGCTGGCTTGAGCGCTGGTCCGTCTGGCCAACATCTGGCTGCGGCAGCCGCTTAGGAGACGTTGGTGATGGGCTTGTACTTCTTTAGCCTGGCCCACTGGCCGGTGGCGTAGTTCATTTCGAAGACCGTATCGACCAGCATGGTGGTGCTCCCGGTGCCATCGCCCGTGGGCACCACTTCCGTGTGCTCGCTCAGCTTGATCTGGATGATGTCCCCCTGGTCCTGGCAAGGGTTCTCTGCAGAGGCAAAAAGCCAAAAGAGACTCAGCAAAGGAGAATGCAGTTCGGCCCCCAATGGGATGGGAAGGCACCCCCACTAGAAAACACCACCACCACCACCACCCCCCGGGCAAAGGCAATTTTTGAAGAGCACTGGAATTGACTGTTGCAGTCACACTTCACCTCCAGAGATGTGAAAGCCCAGAAAAAAACAGGTATTCTCCCTGAACAGCCAGTTTGGTGCCGTGGTTACAAGTGCGGACTCCAATCGGGGACAACTGGGTTTGATTCCCCACTCCTCCTCCACATGCAGCTGCTGGACCTGGTGTGACCTTGGGTCAGTCGTAAGTTCTTTCAGAGCTGTTCTCTCAGGAGCAGTTCTCAAAAGAGCAATTCTCTCAGCCCCACCTACATCACAGTGTCTGTTGTGGGGAGGGGAGGGGAGGGGACTGTTTTAACTATATGTAAATGGTTGCTGAGTGTCACTGACTGTAAATAAATGAATTGAATAAGATCTGATGGCAGTGACCCAAGATGGCCACAAGATGTTGGAAGCCCAGACTTGGGACTCCAGATACAGCAAACAGTCCAAGACGGCTGCCACAGGACACTCATCGGGGCCTACTCGCGTAGACACAAGTTCTTTACGTTCTTTGCTGAAATACACACATCCAATCAGGGACTCACACAAGGAGGCCCCTCCTCTTAGGATGGGTGAAGCAAGTGCCGAAAAATCGTTTCTAGCTTCGTCCTTGAGTTCTCTGACAATCCGCTCATCCTTCCGCTCCGGTTGGCCTGCACGCTCCACTGTTTGGCTCTGACGGTCACAACAAAAGAAACAGGGTTCTGAATACTTGCCTCTCGATCCCGCCATGAATCCCAGGATAAGTGCCTTCTCTGGCCTGGTCACTTTGTTGGCTGTCTTGAACATTTCTTGCACGGCATAGGTTTGTTTCTTCTGCAAGAGAGAACATCCGGGGGGGACGGGACAGTAAGTCAGTGAACAAACAAATCTCACAATCTGATTTTTAGAGCAGCAAAATCCAACTTTCCTAGGGCATTCCCTAGGCCTTCACAGGGTTTCAATTCTTATCACGCTGTCCTTACACTTCAGATTAATCCTGCAGCCGCTTTGGGTCTCAACTGGGGTGAAAGGCAGGGTATGCTCCATTTATCACACCTTCTGCTGGCTTTTTAAAAAAATACGGGCACCCTTTCACCCATTTAAGAACCCAAGCCGACATTTCTTGGTCCTCCGAAAAAAGCAAAGTAAAACAAGAAAACGATTCTCTCCTACGTATCCTTCTTTTCTCCAATGGAAAAAAGAACAGAACCTGCCCGAAGAGGACACAGACCTGCCCCAGTGCAATCCAATCATCACAGGCGCATAAACTACAAAGGTTGTCACATTATACATTAGCAGGGAATATTTTTAGTAAAAGTTTCAACTTTCATTCTGCATTACTACAACTGGTTGGTTTGTTGTTGTTGGGTTATTTTTTTTGGGGGGGGGGGTTAAAGCAAAGAGACCAAGAACTCAAATGCTTGGCCACAACTGGAAGGATTCCAAGTAAAGATGGCCAGAGTACATTTTCACACAGAGTGATTAAAATGTGGAATTCGCTGCCAGAGGGGGTGGTGATGGCCACAGGCACAGACAGCTTTAAAAGGGGATTACACAGATTCATGGAAGAGAAGTCTATCAAAGGCTACTAGCATGATGGCTGAGGGGAACCTCCACATTCAGAAGCACTCAACCTCTGAATTCCGAAGTCAGGAGGCAACATCAGGGAAGGCCTTGGCCTCTATGTCCTGTTCTTGGACTTCCAGAGGAACTGGTTGACCACTGTGTGAGACAGGATACGGGACTGGATGGACCACTGGTCTGATCCAGCAGGGCTCTTCTTAGGTTCTTATCAGGTAAAGACCTTGGCCTCTATGCCCTGTGGCTGGCCCTCCAGAGGAACTGGTTGGCCCTTGTGTGAGACAGGATGCTGGACTAGATGGACCACTGATCTCACCCAGCAGGGCTCTTCTGATGTTCTCATCAGGGGAAGGCCACAGCCTCTCTGCCCTGTTGTTGGCCCTTCAGACCAACTGGATAGCTACTGCGTGAGATGAGATGATGGACTGGATGGACCACTGGCGTGATCCAGCAGGGCCTTTCCGATGTTCTTAAGTTATTGCCCAGGGAAACACCACGTGCTTACGCTTAGAGAGAGGCTTTTTTTGGGTGCTGCCTGTTGAGTCTGCGGAGCCGCCTGGGGCGCTGGCACTGCCGGAGCCGTAACTGGAGGCGTCACAGGAGAGGTGGGCGTGGCCACGGCTGCGTTGGTGTTGCTGTTGTACATGGGTGTCCTCTGCTTGAACTGAGCGGGGACGGCACTCGCAGGAGGCGGGGCAGGCTCTTCTTTAGCTGGCAAGGGTTCACGGGCCGATCCAGCTGTGGAGAGCAACAGGGGGTTATCAGGAACTGACGGTGAGAGTGACTTTGGGCTCCCCTGCTCAACCCCCATCCCTGCATCCTCCCCACGAATACTGAATAAGTGAGCAAAAGGTCCTCATGATGACAGTCTGGGGCCTTCTCCCTCGGCCTCTTGCCCTTACCGTTTATTTTATCCCAACTGTTTATAAGCTGCTTTTCAGCCCAATGGATCCTCAAGACAAGCGAAAATGCAAAACAGGTTGTTGTAAAATCATAATACGATTTCGATTCACTTAAAAGAAACCCCTCTAGCGTTATAAACATGAAGCGCAGTCTCCGATTTTAAGCCAGTTTAAAAGCCTTCCAGAAAGGTCTTTAGAAAGCAGCCTAACTGCCCTGAAATGGGGGGTGTTGGGTTTTTTTGCCACTGTTTCATGCAAACTCCTGAGCTTTTTTTAGTGTTTTGTTTGTTTTTAATTATTTTATTGATTAACCAGAACAAAATATATAAAATATACAATACTTTAATACACATAATATAAAAATTTAAAATTGAGAAGTTAAAATTAAGAACTTATTTATGATCGGAGAAAAGCGAAGGGGAAGTAACAATTTTTTTAACTCAGTTAATTCAGGAACAGATCTTAGTCCTTCCTATTTGGGATAATATTATTGCACGAGATATTCTATCACCATATCCCACCTGACTAGCTTTCCATATATTTATAACATTTTCCTCAAAGAAGGAATTGTTTGTTATTCTACACATTACATACATCTCCCATATTTTATTATACCATTGCATCTTCGTAGGTGGTGTATCCGATTTCCAGTGTTTAGCTATTAATAGCCTTGCCGCTGCCAATAATATTGAAATCAGTTATATATTCTTTTGTCAGCATACAATCATGCCAAATATCAAACAGCAACACATCAACATTATAAGGAAAGGAACCCTTAACAATTTTGAGACTCTCCTCATAAATTTCCCTCCAAAAGTCCTGAATAACTGGGCAATCCCATCAGATATGGGAAGGGGTTCCTTTCATTCTACATTTCCTCCAACAATTCGGGCTAGCAGTTTTAAAAATTGGTTTAAGCTTAGATGGACTTAGATACAAATTTGAAAACATTTTATAATATTGCTATTTAATACACAAAATTCTTTATGTATTTGAAGGTGAAGCCCAAATTTTCTCCCCATCTGATTCGGTTAGCTCTGTCACTCTATTCTTTTGCCAACATGTGACATATCTTGGTAAAGGGAAATAAAAACTTCTTTTTAGTGTTTAGATCAGGGGCCCCCAGCCTTTTGGAACCTGCAGGCACCTGCCAAAGCATGGCGGGACCAGTCACAAAATGGCCACCGCGGCAGGTGAAGCCAGCCACAAAATGGCTGCTGTGTCTCCCCTTGGGTTATACGGTGAAAATCCTTGTGCTGTGGTGGCAGCTGAGACCAAAGAAAGGTTATTAAAAATCCAACCAGCCAATCAGATCTCCAGTAGCCAATCGGAGACCTCGCTGGGCGTAGGGGGCCCCCCCCCCCCCCCCCCCCCCGTCCACTTGGTGGGTGCCAGGAAAGGTCTTGGCAGGCCGCGTGGTGCCCGCAGACTTGTGGGGGACCCTTCGATTAGACTGCTTGCTCAGAATTTGTAAAAAGCATATCCATGTCTTGAATTCAGTTCAGAAAACTTATAGGGATGGTGCCAGTTGCACCTTGTGGGAAGGAATTCCAATGCCCGGGAGCAGCCACTGGAAAAGGCTCAGCTTATCTATTTAAAACATGTTATCGGCTGCCTTTCTCCCTTGCAGACCCCCAAGGCAGCTTGTGATACAAATAAAATGCTTATTAAAAACAAAAGAAAACTAACAATTATTAAAAAACCATTAAAAAGTCAGAATTTAAACATTCCAGTTAGGACCAATGTTCCCTCTACGCTGAGTTAGCGTGAGCTAGCTCACAGTTTTTTAGCCTCCAGCTCACACAGTTTTGCCTCAGCTCAGGAAGGGTGGTTCCAGAGCAAACTAATTTATGCCGTAGCCGAATCGCTCACTCACCACTTTAACGCCGGTAGCTCAACAAAGTAGAATTTTTGCTCAACAGACTCCACAGCTTAGAGGGAGCATTAGTTAGGACTGCCAATAGTTAAAGTAATTCAGTCAAATGCAGTCCTAAATAAAACCGACTTCAGCTGCATCCTAAAGATCGAAAGCGAAAAGGGGGGGGGGGGGACCAGGCGCACCTCCCTAGTGAAGTTGTTCCATAATCGTGGGGCGTGCCCACCAAACGAGCTGCTCTGAGTGATGGGGCAGTCGGGAGGGTCTCCCCCTGTGATCGGAACTCCCTGGCAGGAACATCTGGGAGACTCCCTGATCCCCAGCCAAGTAGAGCTTTCAAGGTCAAAGACAACATCTTGCCCTGGGCTCAGGAGAGCCAGGGTAACGGTTGTAATATCACATGTTCCCAATAGCTGGCCCTGACCAACAGTCTAGCTGCAGAGTCTTGCATTAGCGGCAACACTGAAACACTCTTCAAGGGTAGCCCCAAGTAGAGCGCATTGCAGTAGTCCAGTCTAGACGTAACTAAGGTATGGATCAATGTGGCTAGATCTGACGGACCAGGAAGTCGACACACCAGCCAAAGAACTCTGGATCACCACAGCCACCTGGTCTTCTAAGGTCATCGCTGGGGTGAGTAGCAATCCCAAGTGGCAAACTTGGCTTTTCAAGGGGAGTATAACCCCATTCAAGACAGATCTGAAGACCCTGGCCTGCCTTCCTAACAACCCAAAGCACCTCTCTCTTGTCAGGATTACGTTTCAGCTGCTTCACGCTCATTCGGCCCATTACTGATTCCAACTACTGTGTCCAGAGCATCACCCTTGGAATTCGGTGGGAGAGAAAGGCAGAGCTGGGTTATCATTCTCTTGTACAAACACACTGTGCCGGTTGGGTCTTCTTCACGTTTGCTTTTTCCTTCTCTTTCCTCCTTCCAGGCATGCAAATGCTTAGGGGACTTAAGAGCTTAGAAAGTCGGACTTAAGAGGTGCGATATTCGTGGCCAGTCTGCCACTGGCTTGGAAGGACACCCCCTAGATCCAGAGTGATTAAATGATTGTAGAACATTTCTGCAGAAAGGGAACCTATGAGATGTGCGGCTTAGCAAGCAGGGAAAGCCCCACTTGGCCAGCGGAACCAGTCTTAGAGTGACTCCAAACTGGTGACTTCTTTCACACTTGAAACCCCTGCTTACTCTCCCCAGAAGAGCTCTAACCCCAATGATGGGAAATAACCAAAGGTGCAAACAATAATCTTCAGAGAGTCCTGGAGATACTTTAATTTTATGTACTAATAACGGCGCACAATGGTGTCCCCATTGCAAAAGCCAAGAGACCAAGATACATGATTAAAGGAAATAGGTGGGCCACTTCAGCGTTTCCACCGTGCTATGGCCATTCCTTGAAATACGCTTTGGTGTGAGGCAATGTTCCCTCTAAGCTGAGTCAGTGTGAGCTAGCTCACACTGACTCAGCTTAGAGGGAACACTGGTGTGAGGAATCCCTGCTCTGATCACATCTAGGTGAGACTACGGTCGTGTACTGTACTTGGAGCTTCCTCTGAAAACTCTCTGCAACCCACAAATAAGTCTGAAATACAGCGGCCGTATGTAAATCCAACCATAGGACTCTACTGGAGTTTCACACATTTCAACTGCAGCTTTTGATTGTGCTTCAAAGTACAGAGGGAGCAGTATGTCTGGGGCAGTGATGTTCTGTATTCTGGGTTCTTAGGAGGCTACAGTGGGAGGGGCTTCTGGCCCTGCTGGAGGACCTCCTGAGGGCACCTAGGTTTTGGCCACTGTGACACACAGTGCTGGACTGGAGGGGCCATTGGCCTGATCCAGTATGGCTCCTCTTATGTTCTTATGAGCAGCAGAGGTCCATGAGTGGCTCTTAGATAGGTCTAGATGGAACACTCTGTCTGGGGCAGCAATGCTTTGTGTTCTTGGTGCTTGGGGGGCTACAGTGGGGGGGGGCTTCTGGAGTTCTGGCCCTGCTGGTGGACCTCCTGAAGGCACCTGGTTTTTGGCCACTGTGTGACCCAGAGTGTTGGACAGGATGGGCCACTGGCCTGATCCAACATTGGCTTCTCTTATGTTCTCCAGCTTTATCCACAGGGGCACTTCCAAAAGTGATGCCCTGGGCTCAGAAGTTTGGGTTTTATTGTCAAATGCAAGTCAGCTTTAAAAGTTACTGCAGGTGACCAGCTCCAACCTGACACACATTTCACACAGACATTTTAATAAAAAAAAAACCCCACTTCTAATACCAGTGGTTTCGCAGACTCAAGCTCAGGATGTGTTCGCAGCAACGCAGGGAGTTGCTTAATGCCAACCCCGCAATCTTGAGTTTGACCCCAGTAGATTTAGACAGGCAAGGACCTTCTGCTGAGGAAGGCCCCGGAGAGGCACGGCTAGCAAAAGCCAGGACTTACCTGTTTGCGTCTCCGTACTTGGAACGTAAGAGGAAGATGGCACGACGCTGGGCGCAGCGGGCAGGTAGCTCGTCGAGGCCAGGGCGGGCTCATTATTCAGCGTGCCGAGTTTCTGCAAAGGCAGCATGGATGGCCTTAGAACAGGGATACATTTCACTCCTCTAGGTTAGCTTTTCAAACTGACGTTGTGTTGCTTCAGCAAAGCAATTGCCACCATACTGTTGGCGGCCGTCTCTCTCCCTCGTCTTTCTCGGTGTATCCTTAAAATTACCCCTCTCCTCCCCTGTACTTGAGCTTCCTCTGTGTGGCTGGCTCTGCCTACTGCAGCAGCCATCTTGTGGTTGCGCCCACCCCCCTGTGTCAGAAAAGGTGTCAGAAGGTGCCCAAGGGCTCAGAAGGGTCGGGGGATGAGTGTTCCCTCTAAGCTGCGTTAGTGTGAGCCAGCTTGCAGTTTTTTTAGCCTCCGGCTCACACGTTTGCCTTGGCTCAGGAAGGATGGCTCCAGAGCAAACTAATTCATGCACCAGCCAAATCTCTCGCTCACCACTTTAATGCCGGTAGCTCAACAAAGTAGAATTTTTGCTCACAGGACTCCACAGCTTAGAGGGAACCCTTGACATAGGGCAGGGGTGGCGAACACGCGGCTCTCGAGCCGCATGCGGCTCCCGGCCAAAATGAATGCGGCTCTTTGCCCGGCGCTTCCTCGGCGGCTTCCAAGCGACACATTCCGGGGAGAGGGCGTCTTTCGGCCGCAGGCGAGCCGGGGCGGCTCTCCGAGGCCGAGGACGCTGCGCTCTGCCCGGAGGCGCTGCGCCCGGCGCGAAGCCAGAAGCCCGGGCTGGGCGCGCCCCAGGATCGTCGGCCGGAGGAAAGGCGAGGGCTCGCCGGGAGCGCTTCCTTGGCGCAGGGCGGTGCGCTCCCGCCGGGCGCCTTACCTTGGCTGCGGCGCGCTGGCCTCGCTCGGGGCGGCAAGAAGCGCGGCGGGGTCCTTCCGAGCGGCAAGTTTCTCGGAGCGGCAGCAACTCGGCAGGCGGGGGGGTAGGAGGAGGGGGAAGGGGGAGGGCAGAGTCGGCCTGGCCGGCGGGCGGGCGCGGGGCTGGCCACCGAGAGGGCTCCCCCAGAGCACGGAGAGAGGGGCTCCGGAGGCTACCTGGCGGGGCAGACCCCCCCTCTCCCCCGGCAATGGTCCCCTGCAGGATTTCCAAGCGCGGGGAGGGCTCTCCTCTCTCCCTCCCCCCCCCGCTGCCCCGAGCCACTGCGTGGTGTGGCTCTCTGACTCTTACAGTTTAAAATTTTGGCTCTTTTTGTCGAACTTGTTCGCCACCCCTGCCATAGGGCATAGGGCACCAACACCAGTGCCAACCTGACATAAGCTCACGCGATTGCAAGCACACCTGAACTTTCACGGCCGTTTCAGGCCCGGTTTCCTAGCTTCAACCATCCAGGTAGTGCTAAGGAGACACCACCGACCAAATGCCGCCGTTGCTGGGACCGAGAATCAAGAACACAAAGGGCAAAGCAGAAAAAGGTTCCTACCCCAAAAAAAGTCAATCTACAAAACGTTTCTCGCAGATCTAATTCCGATTCATGGACAGTCACAGCACATTTCTTAATACATGTCCATGATCAAGAATATGAACAAGCAGGAGCACACAGTGAAGTGTTAACTGTGGAACTGAAGGGGCACCACTTGACACAGGTGACCCAAGCTCTCACGTACCTATAGACTGATTCAGGTGAGTAGCCATGTTGGTCTGAAGCAACAGACCGACGTTTGAGTCTGGTGGCACCTCGAAGACCCACAAAGTTTAATTCTGGGCATAAGCTTTCGTACGCATGCTCACAAACGCTTATAACCCAGAATTAACTTTGTAAGTCTTAAAGTTCCCACCGGACTCAGACTTTGTACCTCCAGACTGTTATACTGGAGGAAAACTTAAAGAGAAATTTTAGCATTCAAATAAGAGAGCCAAACGATGAAGCAGGGCAAATCTGGCCATTCTAGATGCAAATGTAAAGAAAGTATCCTTGATCCCAAGATGATGAAGAAGAAGAGGAGATTGGATTTATACCCCGCCCTTCACTTGGAGTCTCAGAGCGGCTTACAAACTCCTTTCCCTTCCCCTCCCCACAACAGACACCCTGTGAGGTGGGTGGGGCTAAGAGAGCTCTGACAGAAACTGCTCTTTTTCAAGGACAGCTGTGCCAGAGCTTGTGACTGACCCAAGGTCACATCAGCAGGTGCAAGTGGAGGAGTGGGGAATCAAACCCGGTTCTCCCAGATTAGAGTCCGTGCACTTAACCATTACACCAAACTGATGGGACTTTATTTATGGGACTTTATAAAAATGTACATATAAAACTGCCTTTTGCTGAATCAGACCCTTGATCCATCAAGGTCAGTATTGCCTACTCGGACTGGCAGTAGCTCTCCAGGGTCTCAGGCAGGGGTCCTTCACATCACCAACTGCCAGATCCTTTTAAGTGGAGATGCCAGGAATTGAACCTGGGACCTTCTGCGTGCCGAGCAGAGGAGCTTCCGCTGAGCCACACGCCCTCCCCAGTTTATGACAACTGTCCTGCAGAATTTCCTGTAGAACAAGAGCCTCTGCGATCACCCTCTTCCTTATAACACCCCCTGCCTGCTCCTACCACTGCTGCCTGGTTCATATTTTCTCTGGGAACAGCAGGTCTACCACTTTGGCTCTTGGCAAATTTATTTCGGCAGCACTCAAAGCAGGCGATAACATGATGAACTTGCATCTGTGGTCGCTACCGAGCAGGGCTGTCCTTCCCCCAATTAACAGGGACGCCGGTCTGGGATGGTCCCCCCTCTCTGGGTAATGATCCAATTTAAACTATATTCAACTTCTCTGTAAAAGAGTAACTCCTCAGAATAAAGAATATAAATACATAGCATAATACTTAGGAATTTGAGGGATGGAATGTTCCACCTGGAGTTGGCAACTCCTAGTACTTTAGTATTTTTACAATAAGAGGTTCTATAACTTTAAAACTAATCAGGATACTATCAGCTGCAATCAATGTGGTTTCATAAAGCTGTCCCAGTAGGCCGGATACTTTGAGGCATGTTTGGTCCTGTTCACATAGAAGCAACCCTAGAGGTGCATATTAAAACTTAGGAGACCTAGCCCATAAGTGAGTATATACTGGCGGCTTTGGTCCATATATTATGCTATGTATTTATATTCTTTATTCTAAGGAGTTACTCTCTTTTACAGAGAAGTTGAATAGCATCATCCTGTTAAGAAACTGGCATGAGACTTCTTATGTTGGTAAGATACATGAGACTCTGTGTAACAGTGATTATATATTGTTATTAAGCATCATTGTTTAGAAGCTATATTGTTATAAAGCATTGCTGTATTTTATACTTTTACAATTTTGTACTTCTATAGTTCTTTTTTTTTTTTGCAAAAAAAATTTTTTTTTTGGGTATAATAGCATGCTTAACATTTACTTTCAGTCAACAAATACCCATATTCCCCTCCTTCCTACTTTTCCTAGGTAGTTTATAGTGTTTCAGACTCCTATAGTTCTTTGTTCCTCAGGAAGGACCAGGAGTCTAAAACACTATAAACTACCTAGGAAAAGTGTTGGATATCTTCTCTGGACTTGACTGTTTCCCTTCAAGGATTGTGTGGATTTTTCATTCCCATATGTAATATTTGTTACTGATATTGCTAATTATATGTTTCTGTTCACTTTATTGAAGGCTCTTTTTGTACATTTATACTTGCGGGTATTTCAGCTCACAGTTGTTTTGTTGTTCTTGGCTATATTAGACTGTGTGCTGTATTGTTTGTTGCTTGTTGTTTGTAGTACTTCCCAGGGACCCTTCCCTCATTAGTGAAGTAAAGTGTCTTGTTTAAAAGCTGATACAAGTGTCCTGTTGCATTTATTCTCTCTGCTTTGACCTAAAATCCCTAACAGTTACCCACCTTGCATTCTGGCTGTGTTAGGAGAAAAGCTAGGCCAAGCTGAATTATACAATCTCCTCTGCTGCTTGCTCAGGAAATAAGGATGCTGTGTAACAATACCAATCAGTTCAGAAAGAGCCAGGGATTGCAGACGAGACTCCCTGGGGGGTTGCTACAAGCTAGACCCTACGACATGACGTTTGCTTTTGTTTCATGTGTCATGATCATGCTTCTGCTGTGCTTTGACTCTGACCTGTTGACTGTACTGATTTCTGTATCTACGTAATCCGCCTTAAGTTCCAGTGAGAAAGGCAGACTATAAATAACGTAAGAAAAAAAATGTAAGTATGATAAGTAAATAGTGTGGGAGTAGAGCAAGGGTAGGGGCTGCGGTGGCTCAAGTGGTTAAGACACTGAACTGCAGACTGGAAGGTCAGTAGTTCAGCAGTTCGAGACCTGAGTGCCACGTGACGGAGTGAGCTCCCGTCTCTGGCCCCAGCTCCTGCCAACCTAGCAGTTCGAAAGCAAGAAACTCTGGTGGGACGGTAACAGCATTCCGTGCGCCTCGGCGTCTAGTCATGCCGGTCACATGACCACGAAAACGTCTTCGGACAGCGCTGGCTCTTCAGCTTAGAAACATAGATGAGCACCGGATTCCTAGAGTCGGATTCGACTGGCTTTCGAGCAAGGGAAACCGCTACCTTTACTAGAGCAGGGGTGGCCAAACTGTGGCTCGGGAGCCGCACGTCGCTCTTTCACACATACTGTGAGGCTTCCGGCAGGCTCCCCGTCTATTTGCTCTCTCTCTTTCTCTATGTCTCTCTTCCTCCCCCCCCCCCCCCTTAGTTTCTTTCTTTATTCTTCTTTCTTTCCACCTCTCTCTCTCTCTTTCTCTCTGACAAATAAATACCATTAGCAAACAAATATCATTGGACATTATCAATATCTTTACCCCTTTTGTTTTTATTTTTGGCAGTCTCATTTAATGGTACTAAAAAGCAAATTTGCATATTTTCCAATAAAAACGTGTGTGTGAGATTTGTTTGTGTCTCGTGGCTCTCAAACATCTGACGTTTATTTGGTGTGGCTCTTGCGTTAAGCAAGTTTGGTCACCCCTGGAGTAGAGGCGTGTTTACTTTGTTCATACAGAGTACAAGCTGTGCTTCACTAGAAATGTCAAGCGTGATGAGCATGCTAGATATTAATGTGAGTGAAAATCCCACCTGAGTAGACACAAGCCCAGCAGCGTAATCTGGAGTGGCATTTTCAAAAACGGTCTCCTCTTTCGCCGGCTTCTCCGCCACTTCTGTATCTATTCAATTGACAGAAACACGCAGCAATCATTGCGACGTTTTAAAATGTCATGTTGTCAACAGGAAGGACCCCGTTATCTGCCACTTTGCCTGCAAACACGCAAACTTACATGCAGTCTTTCTGTTCCTACCAGTTCATTTTTACACTCACACAGAGAATGTAGACACTTTTTTCCCCCCTCCTGCTAGGCATGTCTAAGTACAAGGCCTTTATCAGACAAAAAAACTCTCTTTAATTAAAAACCTATTTGGGTCCCATCAAGGGAAGAGGCAACAATTTTTTTTTTGCACATCTCTCTCCACGTGCAATAATGAAGAAGACACAAGGCCACGCCCCCCTTTCCCGGATCCCATTCTCTGAACAGCTGTCCCTCTTCTCTTTCCCATCTGTGACCATGTCCCACACCAACACATGAAGCTGCCTTTCACCGAGTCAGACCCTTGGCCCATCGAGGTCAGCTCTGGCTACTCAGACGGGCAGTGGCTCTCCGGGGTCTCTGGCAGGGGTCTTCCACATCACCCGTACTGCCTGGTACTTTTAGCTGGAGACAGCGGGGATTGAACCCGGGACAACATCCCCTCCACCAGAAAGTGTTATTCTCTCAAGCTTATCAAAAGGAAGAGCACCGATTCCTCATCCCCTCATTCACCCTGGCTTTAATGAGCAGAGGCAGACACAAAGGGATGGAGGTGCCCAAATACCCACTGACTAAATATTTTTATTTGTTTGATTGATTGATTTGTACCCCACCCTCCACGCAAAGCAGGCTCAGGGTGGCTCAACACGATTTAGTGCATAAATAACAATTAAAATCTACATAAAAATATCGAAAACAATTCAGTTCAAACAGTTCAATTACATAAAGTGCTGGCAGAATTTAACTGATTACGTTGACGATGGCATTCTGTATGGGTGCATATAAGATCTAACACCTGTTCTGCTCATTGATCTTCCTACCATGAGCGGCAGCACAGGCTATAGATGTCAAAGCCAAGGGCCAGGGCTCTATTATTAAGATTGTTGATGGTAGTGGTGGCGGCGGCTCCTTAGTTGAAAGCCTGGTGGAAGAGCTCCATCTTACAGGCCCTGCAAACTGTAAAAGGTCCCGCAGGGCCCTGATCTCCTCCAGGAGCTCATTCCACCAGTATGGAGCTGCCACTGAAAAGGCCCTGGCCCTGGTAATAAAAAGCCTGGCGTCCTTGGATTGGAAGGTCAATCGATTATGGGACCCTGGCTGTAGTGCTCTCTGGGGTACCTACGGGGAAAGTCGAAATTGTTTAAAGGTGTATACCAACCTAAAGTCTTCCGTCGTCTTTTTGCTTCCTGGCCAGCACCGACCTTTTTCAGCTCGTTGAGATCTAGGAACTGTAAAGATACAGAGGTCATGGCCTGGATTTTTCCTCTGGGCCTCCCACCATGTGACAAATCCCAGGCTGATGCTCCCCCCCCCTTCCCCCAATCTGTACACTGCACCAAAGCAGGAAGGTGAGCAGTTCAGCTTCAGGCCAGGAGCACCCTTAGGTACCAACCAGATTCTTCAACAGGGCAAGAGCTTTCGAGGCTCAATACTCCCTTCGTCAGAGGCGAGTAGGAACTGGATCTCTATTCCTTCTTGTATCTGACGAAGGGAGCTCCGACTCTCAAAAGCTCATGCCCTGAAAAACCTGGTTGGTACCTAAGGGTGCTCCTGGACTCGAACCCAGCTCTTTTACTGCAGACCAACATGGCTGTCCTCTGGAACTACACCAGTTTGGTGTAGTGGTTAAGTGCGCGGACTCTAATCTGGGAGAACTGGGTTTGATTCCCCAACTCCTCCACTTGCACCTGGCTGGATGACCTTGGGCAAGCCCTAGTTCTGATAAGAGCTGTTCTTGAAAAAATGGCAGTTTCTCTCAGAACTCTCTCAGCCCCACCTACCTCACATGGTGTCTGTTGTGGGGAGGGGAAGGGAAAGGAGTTTGTAAGCCGCTCTGAGACTTAAATCCAGTCTCTTCTTCTACCTTCTGCTTCTATAGTGTGGCTGCCAGTTTCTTAACGCGCAGTTTTTCGTGTTTCTAAAGACGGCAGCTTTCTTTGGGGAACTGCATTTTTCATAAACGAAGAAACTGGAGTCTGCTATGGACAACGTGGTGGAAATCTGGCGCCTGGCGTGGCTGTCTCTATTGCCCTCTCTGGGGAACTCCATCCCCTTGGTGTTTTGATCAGCTGATTATAGTGCACTGCCTACAGTGTTCAAAGTGCTTCACGTATATTAGCTCAGTAAGCAGTACATGGAACTCTTTTTTTTTCTTTTTTTGTATGACCCACTCATATGTATGAGTGTCTACTGCTCTTAAAACGAAACAGAATACAAATCTCAGAGTTACTCCCCACATCTACATTTGGTGGTAAGTTGATGGGAAGGAAGTGGCAACTTTCCCCTTCAATTATTCTTTTAGAATAAATGGGGCAATCAGTATACATGGGGATGGAGCATTTTAGACTGGGCTAGCTAATGGAACGATACGTTTTAACAGCCTCCAGCCTCAAACAAATTTAAGGGAGGCTGACAGGAGTCGTGCGCCTTGTATATCTACCATGTCTGTTTTACAGGGCTACCATACTAAAGGCCAACCTACATGTTACAGCAGCCACGTTCTGCCTGAGGAGACTTGTGGCCTGCGGGGCCTGACTAGGTTCCACAGGGCCTATAAAATGGGATTATTCCACCGGGCATTCCGTCGAGGAAACCTCCTCCCTAATGGGGACTCAAAGTCGCTTACCCCACTCTCCTCTCTGCTGGTTTATCCTCAAAATGACCCTGCGAGGTAGGCTAGGTGGAGAGACTGGCCCCAGATCACCCAGCGAGCTTCCGTGGCAGAGCGGGGATTGGGACTTTGGTCTCCCGGATCTCAGTCCAACATTTTAACCACTGCATTGCGCTGGCATCCAAGTTTCCAGCGCTTTTGGCTACTGCCCACATTTCCCCGGCCCCGCAAAAGGAATTTTCCTGTTATGACCCGCTTGCAGGGCTCGCCTTCTGCTTCACGGGGGCTTCTGGTTCGGACTGACTCTAGGGCAGCACGTTTAACCTCGAGCAGAACAAGGGCTTTTTCGATCGTGACCCCAGCCTGGTGGAACGCGCTTGCCTGAGATGACTCGGGGCCTGGGGGACCTGTCTAGATTCCACATGGCCTGTAAGACGAAATTATTCCTCCAGGCATTCCTTACTTGGCCTTTTCTCGGCTCCTCTGATCCTCATGCCAGACTGCCAGTGTATTAAATTGTTTATACAATATTTGTATTTTTATTTATGTTTTGCATCTATGTTGTTCACCAACCCGACCCCTGACTGTTGGGGGAGGGGCGGGATAAAGATCAAATGAAAAAACAGGTTGCTTACCTGTAACTGGTGATCTTCGAGTGGTCATCTGTGCATTCACACCCATGGGATACAGTGCGCATGCGCTGGATCGATCGGCATTGTAGCAAGCTCTTAACGGATTTTCGCACCCAGACCTCAGGCATGCGCAGGAACCCCACCACGCATGCCCAGAGGGGTGGGCGTGGACATCCCGCCAGTTCCTTCGAACCGCCACAAATCAACCCCTATGGAAAATGTAGAAGCTGACAGCAGCGGGGAAGGAGGGCGGGTGGTGTGAATGCACAGATGACCACTCGAAGATCACCAGTTACAGGTAAACAACCAGTTTATCTTCGACGTGGTCTCTGTGCTTCACACCCATGGGAGATTAGCAAGCAGTGGCCTACCTGGAAGAGGGTGCTGGCAGGTCTTTTACTGCGTAGCCGAGGATAAAATGTGATGTCCCATGTTGGTACAAGAGTTCTTACGGACGTCTAGGGCATAGTGCGTTATGAATGTGTTAGGCATAGCCCACGTAGTGGCTCTGCAAATGTCCATTAGGGGAACTCCCTGTAGGAAGGCAGCTGAGGCTGCAACAGCTCTGGTTGAATGAGTCCTGATGGGGCCAGGCAATGGCTGCTTGGAGATAAGGTAGCAGAGGCGGATGAATCTCGCAATCCATCTTGATGGGCGCTGAGCCGTGATGCGAGTGCCCAGCCTTGCTGGTGCATAGGAGACGAAAAGTTGAGAGTCACGACTCGTTGGACTGGTTCTATTTATTTATTTATTTATTTATTTGTTTATTTGTTCGGCTTGATATACCGCCCTAACCCCCGTGGGGGTCTCTGGGCGGTTTACATTGAGGGTGCTAGTCACAGTTTATATCCCTAACTTCTTGGCCACATTAGTAGGAGGGGGGGGGACATCCTACCGGCACCCTGGTGGAGGCAGGTATTCTTCGGCTTGGCTTCATCCCGGCTATGCAGAGGCTGTTGTTTCTGCTGGCGCTTAGTTCTGGTACGGAATCGACGTCCTCTCCCGGCCCAGGCTTGGGTCCTTCCGGCTGTGAAGGACCAGGGGAAGGTCCTAGGGGACGACAGGAGTTTTGATGGGAGGGTAGAGGTGCAACAGTCCCTTCAAAAAACGTTTAGAAAGTGGGTGCGAGAACAGTGTGCATCCCTCAACTTAACATGGTAGGCCGAAAGTGCGGTCAAGTAAACCTTTAACGAGGAGTGAGAAAATCCCGAGTCAGCGAGAGACAGAAGGAATTGAAAAACATTCTCGAGACCTGCAGAGGTGGCTCGAGGGATATCATCACCCAAGGTGGAACAGAACTTTTGCCACTTCAACTCGCCTTGCTGAAGTGACAGCAACCAGAAAGGCCGTTTTCCACGACAGGAATTTTAGGTCGCAATTTGCGAGCAACTCAAAAGGTTTCCTGGTGAGTTGGCGAAGGACCAGGGGAAGGTCCCAGGGGACGACAGGAGTTTTGATGGGAGGGTAGAGGTGCAACAGTTCCTTCAAAAAATGTTTAGAAACTGGATGCGAGAACAGTGTGCATCCCTCAACTTGAACATGGTAGGCCGAAAGTGCGGCCAAATAAACCGTTAACGAGAAATGTGGAAGTCCCGAGTCAGCGAGAGACAGGAGGAATTTGAAAACTTTCTCGAGACCTGCAGAGGTGGCTCAAGGGGCATCGTCACCCAAGTAGGAACAGAATTTTTGCCACTTATAATGATACGACTTTCGCGTAGTGGACTTTCTGGAGTTTAGCAAGACATTTGCTATGCGGGTGCAAAAGCTGTTGATGCTACTCTCCAGGCTGTCAACTTCATTCATGGCACATCGTGGTATAGGAGAGGGGACTCGGATAGGAACTGGAGGTCCTGTGCCGGAGTAAATTGGTGGTAGACCCCCACTGACAGGTGGAGGATGGTTGAGAACCATGGTTGCCGCGGCCACCAAGGGGTTATGAGGATGCAGTCCGCTCTGTCGGTGATGATTTTGCGGACCACTCTCAGAAGCAGGAGCAGCGGAGGGAAGAGGTAGAGAAACCCTCTGGACCACGGATAGAGGAGACCGTCCCCTAGAGACTGTGGGTCCCTGTCACCTCGGCTGCAGAATAGAGGGCACTTTTTGTTCGCTCTGGTGGCAAAAACATCTATTTGGGGAACCCCACACCTGCGGAAGAGTGGGAGAAGGTAAGTTGGGTTCAATTCCCACTCGTGCAGACTGAGTCCTGCCCGACTCAGGTGGTCTGCCTGCACATTCATATGGCCCGGTATGTGCGTGGCGACTAAGAAGATGTTGTGGGCAATGCAGAAGTGCCATAGCCGGAGGGCAAGGTCGCAGAGACATTGGGAGACTGTGCCCCCTTGCCTGTTCACATAGCTGAGGGCAGTAGTATTGTCCGTGAGGACAGTGACACATTTCCCTTCGATCAGGGGCAGGAAACTGGTGACCGCAAACTGTATTGCAAGCAGTTCCAGAAAATTTATGTGCCATTTTCGTTTCTGAGTGTCCCATTTGTCCCTGACACAAAGTCCCATCATGTGGGCGCCCCAGCCCGAGAGAGAAGTGTCTGTAGTTAGGGTAATTTGGGGTGATGGAAGATGGAAGGGTGCTCTCTGGAATAGGTTGGAAGGGACAGTCCACCAAAGTAAAGAGTCCCGTACTTTGACAGGTGGGAATAGGAGGGTGGTGTGTGTGTCTCTCTCTGTGAATAAACCAAAGTTGTAAGACACGCATTTTCAGCCTGGCGAAAACCAAGACGGACGTGGTAGCAGCCATCAGACCAAGGAGCCTCTGTATTTGGAAAGCCGTTACCGAGGGTCGAATATGCATGACAGTGGCAAGATCTATGATGTCGGCTGCTCTGTTTTGTAGCAGGTAGGCTCTGCAAGCTGTGGAGTCCAGGAACGCACCGATGTACTGTATTTTCTGGACCGGTCGAAGTTGAGATTTTTCCAGGTTTACTTGTAGACCTAGGTTTTCCAGGAGGACTAGCGTCTTGATGTTTGAGACTAGATCGTCCCTGGAAGTCGCTACCAAGAGCCAATCGTCGATGTACGGGTAGATGGCGATACCCTTGAGACGGAGGAAGGCTGCGACCACCACCATCGTCTTTGTGAAGACTCTTGGCATAATTGAAAGGCCGAATGGCAGGGCTGTATATTGGTAATGATGTTGACCAATAGTGAAGCGTAGGTATTGGCGGTCGGACGGGTGGATAGTGAGGTGGAAGTATGCGTCTTGGAGGTCGAGAGTGGCCATCCAGACGTTCTTTTGTAGAAGTGGCAGAATCTGCTGCAGGGACACCATGCGGAAGCGGTGGTATTTGACAAAGCTGTTTAGCGCCCGTAGGTCTAAGATTGGTCGAACGCCTCCATCTCGCTTCAGGACGGTGAAATAGTGGGAATAGAATCCCTTGCCCCGTAGTGTAGTGGCACCTGCTCGATGGCTCCCTTCTGCAGAAGGACAGACACCTCTTCGAGGAGGGCCGAAGAAGGGGGTGTGGAGACGAAAACAGGAGTAATGGGGTTCTGGAGAAATTCTATGCAGTAGCCATGGGTTAGGATGGACAGCACCCATTCGTCTGTGGTGATGTGACACCAGGTTTGGAGAAAGGGGGTTAGACGGGTTGGATTTGACTTGGAGGTAAGGAAGTCAAAAACCCTGCTTGGAGGACTTTGGCTGCTTATTGCGGGAAGACTGTTCTCCCGACCCAAATCTGGGTTTTTGAAATGTGGGCTTCTAACCACTGGAAGATATACGTGGCCTCCATAGCCGGTCAGGAGATTGATGGTTTGGAGTGCGTTTTTGCCAGGGTCTAGACCAAGGACGAGGCCAATATTGCTGCCTCGTAGAAGATGAAACTCCAAGAGTGTGAGAAGCTTTTATGCTCTTATCCATATCCTGTAATATGGTGTCTGTGGTGCTGTTAAAAAGACCAGGGCCATCGAAGGAGAGGTCTTCTACATATGACCTAGTATCTGGTGGAAGATTAGTGGTAAGGAGCCAGGAATGC